CCGTAAGGCATCCGGGGCGCGCAAAACTGCAGTGGGTGGACCCTGAGTGCACAAGCGGCAGCTGCCAGACCCCAGGCATGGGGTGGCAACCGGCAGACCCAGTGAGGAGGCAATTGCAAAGCAAGGCACTGCACGCAACCCAGGATCCCAGCACTGGGAAATAGAGCCTTGGGGCACTGATTGAGGACACCTGTGGGAGTTGAGGCGCACGGAGAGACACCCAGCCTCACAGGAGAGGTCCTTGGAGGGTCCCATGGCGTGCACAAGCCCACCCACATAGGAATTGGCACCAGAGGGGCCCAGTTTGCTTGGGGGAAGTGGCAGAAGGGACTGAGGTCCCACAGAGAACAGAGCAAGCGCCATCATTCCCTCTCAACCCCGCCCCCACATACAACGTCACAACCCAGACACTAGGGTGCCCTGCCCTGGTTAACACCAAAGGCTCCTCCCCTTACAGCCAAAGGCGCTACCAGACAAAAAAAGAGAGAGAGAGAGAGAGAGAGAGAGAGAGAGAGAGAGAGAGAGAGAGCGAGCGCTGGCTCAAACAGAAGACCAAATAAAAGCCCCAGAACCCATCCTTTTTAGCCACCAAGAGATAGCCAACCTATCAGATGCACAGTTCAAAACACTGGTGATCAGGATGCTCGCAGAATTGGTTGATTTTGGTCACAAATTAGATGAAAAAATGAAGGCTACAATAAGTGAAATGAAGAAAAAGTGATGGAAAGAAAGCTGGGTCTCACATCAATGGAGTGGACCAGAAGGGAGAAAAAAACAACCACACAGAAAAGAATGAACAAATAAGAATTCAAAAAAATGAGGAGAGGCTTACGAATCTCTAGGACATCTTTAAATGTTCCAACATCCGAATTATAGGGGTACCAGAAGGAGAAGAGGAAGAGAAACAAGTGGAAAACTTATTTGAACAAATAATAAAGAACTTCCCCATTCTGGCAAAGGAAATGGACTTCCAGGAAGTCCAGGAAGCTCAGAGAGTCCCAAAGAAGTTGGACTCAAGAAAGAACACAACAAGGCACATCATAATTACATTAGCCAAGGTAAAAATGAAGGAGAGAATCCTAGAAGCAGCAAGAGATAAGGAGACAGTAACCTACAAAGGAGTTCCCATCAGACTGTCAGCTGATCTCTCAAAAGAGACATTACAGGCAAGAAGGGGCTGGAAAGAAGTATTCCAAGTCATGAAAGGCAAGGACCTACATCCCAGATTGCTCTATCCAGCAAAGCTTTCATTTAGGATGGAAGGGCAGATAAAGTGCTTCCCAGATAAGGTCAAGTTAAAGGAGTTCATCATCACCAAGCCCTCGTTATATGAAATGTTAAAGGGACTTATCTAAGAAAAGATTAAAAAAAACATGTATAGTAAAAGGACAGCAAGCTCACAATTATTAACCACACCTAAAGCAAAAACAAAAAGAAACTAAGCAAACAACTAGAACAGGAGCAGAACCACAGAAATGGAGATCACATGGAGGGTTAGCAACAGGGGAGTGGGAGGAGGAGAGAGGGGGGAAAAGGTACAGAAAATAAGTAGCATAGATGGTAGGTAGGAAATAGAGGGAGGGCAAGAATAGTATGGGAAATGTAGAAGCTAAAGAACTTATGACACATGGACATGAACTAAAGCGAGGGGGGGATGTGGGTGGGAGAGGGTGTGCAGGGTGGAGGGGAGTGAAGGGGGGAAATGGGACAACTGTAATAGTATAATCAATAAAATATATTAAAATAAATAAAACAAAAAATTCTCTACAGGTGTTGACGTTTCTTACGTTAACATAACAACCCTCAAATCTCAGTGTCATAACCCAATAAAGGTTTATGTTTTGCTCTCACCAGTCTAATGAGTGTGGAGGATGTGTTTGTATCATTATTAAGAACTCCAGGGTCCTTTTATTAAAAATTCTTTTATTGTTGTTCAAGTACAGTTGTCTGCATTTACCCCTCTCCACTTTCCCTCAAAGCCCCCCTGTCTCATGTCTCATGGTGCTGCCATCCTTTAGTTCCTGAGAGTTTTCTGTGTTTGGCAGACTAATATGTAAACACCAAAAAGGAAATATAAATCACTGGAAATTTTAAGGGTCAGGCTTAGATGGAGCAATCACTGCTTCTCTCTGCATTCCACTGGCCCGAAATGGCCACATGGCCTGATGTGAAAGTAAGGAAGCGAGGAGATGTGGGTTTCCTGGGTACATAAAAAGAAAATAAGGTGGTGAATATTTATCCTTGTCTCCATCACAGTTGCTTTCAATTTCAGGTGACAGAAAACCCAACTCAAACTACCTTTGTCGGGAAGGAAAATCTTTTCCTCTACCTTCTTAGATTTAGTTTTTTGGGGGCCTGTGAATTAAACTGACAAAAGACAGGCTAGCAAAAGAAAAGACATTTGAATCACATACTATATAGGGGAGTTCATAAAGAAATGTGACTCACAGGGGTGATTAGAATTTGTGGTGTATATATCCTTTCCATAGGTGAAAGGGGAAGGGAAATAAAAGGACACTGAAAAAAAGCATTAGGGGGAAAAGAGGGCACTTATGGGAAAACAAGTAACTTTTAGGAAAGATAAATATGCCCTTAGAGTAAATTGGAGATAAGTTTTGTGACTCTGTCTGCTTAGGTGTGGTGACAATTCTCCTTATCTCTAGTGGTAAGAATCAATCTTTCCTGGTTGTTCCCTGGAAGGAGATTTATGATAATTGAGGGTTTTTTTGTTGTTTTTTGTTTGTTTTGGTGGGGAGGCTTTGCCTTTAAGGCAGATGAGAGATTTCAGGAATTCAAATGCTTTCAGCTAAAAATAATTTTTATGCTAGAGTGGCTTACTCTGGACTCCTTCAGCTTAAACAGAAAGGGAATTTATTGGCCCATACAATGGAGGTCTAAAGGTAGCATGGGTTCAGGTTTGGTTTGATTGGGAAGTTTATGGTGCTCTCAGGGATTGACTTCCTTTCCCTATGATTGATTTGCTCAGCTCTTCCCCTGCCACATGTTAGTCTTATTCTCAGTTGGCTCTCCTTCGTAGAAAAGAAAAAAAGATGTAGCTCTTCCAGTATTTACATTTGAACAGCATATTATCCAAAGAAAGAAAGAACTTCACTTTTGCCCACAAATAAAAATCCTGTGCTTCACTCTGATTTCTGAAACAAAAACTGGTTCAAAGAGAAGAAAGAGTGATTTTCGACTGTTTTAGTGGTATCATTCTTGGGCATTCAGGGTGGTTATTCCACCCAAATTGCATGAGTGAACAAAACAGAAGTTGTGGTATGAAAGCTGGGAAATAAGATATCAATTACAGTCAGGGAACAGTGGAACATGATGTCAAGAAGAATGAATATTATGAAACTCAGACAGTGAGGAAAGGATGGAAAGGGCCAGGCAATACAAGTCAGAGGCAAGAAGCTCTGAAAAATGATGGGAAGGTGTGGATGGTAAGTCAAGAGAACCAAGACAGTTGCATTCTAGAAGGCAAGGGAGGAAGCTTAAGGGTAGGGTAGTCAAATAAATCATCCAAATTATTTCCTGTGTGTTGATTTCATTCTCAGCAGACATCCTCTATAATTTGGATCCTCATGTAAATGGTCCTTTTGAGTGTAAATGTGTTGACCAGAGTTTCTGGTCTTCATGGCAGTTATGTTTTTCATGGAAAAAAAAAGGAATAAATTGGACTTTGTGTTTATTGATTTGTAGTAAGTTTGGCGGCATGAATGAATCATGCCCCTGGATTTAAACTAGCTCTGGGGGCCAACTACTTCAAGTTTCTGTTTCTGCAAACTGAGGACCAGGCTCTAAAACACAGAGTGAAATCTTAAGTTCACTTTCATACTCATATGCTTTGCTAACCATTAGGAGCTACATCTAAAATATAATGACTTAAGAATGCACCAAGATTTTGAATGTTTAGCTTTCCATGTTTGTTATTTTGATTTTTGTGTCTTTTGCTATAAAGCTTATTTTCAAGGCAAGCCAGAAAGGGAAAGCTAGGTAGACTATCCTTGGCCAGCTGGGAAAGAGATCATGGTTATCTGTAGCCATGCCAGGCCTATAGGGGTGATGAAAGTGGCCTTTGGGGAAGATTGATCTGGGAGTGGTAATCAGTAAGGAAGCAACTATAATGAAGAGCAACAGAAAAGAGCTTGGGGCAATCAGAATGGGGAATAAGAAACTAATTCAAATAGGCAGGAATAATGGCACAATTCAGTGACTGAATGTTGTGTGCAGTGATGGTACGTGTGCTAAGAATCTAATAAGAGGCAAGATTTCAAATCCAGATCACTCTTGAGAGCTGGACCATTATTGCCATTGACATTGTGAGGACAACTGGGAGAGGAACCTTTCCTTACAGGTCAGAATACAGTATTTATATAAGCATTTATGCAAGCAGTATCTGGGCAAGTGTCCTTGTAAGCACATTTATCTTAACTTTATTTATTGTTGTCGTTATTACAGACACCCTATGGCAGAGTCAAGGATTAAAGGAAACACAGGCAAAATCGTCCGTTTGAAACAAATTTGGAAGAACTAGCAAATTATTAAAAGAACCTGACTACTTCTTTTTCTTACCTAGTTTATGTCTTCGTGCCTAAGGCACAGTGTTCCATTTCAAGGTGCCTCTCTTCCTAGGCCACCTTACCTTCCAAATCTGCAGAGAACTAGCTATTACACATAGGGAGGCCCTGCAACTCAGGTTCAAGCCTTTAGATTCCGTGCAGCCCTGATTTAGGGATTGCTACACCGGACTGGCTGCCGAGCAGCCAGCAGGCACGCACAGTCGCGCTGGACCTGACCTAGGCCCTCGCTCACGGGGGGCGCGTGGCTGGGCTCCGAAGACTTCGAGGGCCTACGACTTCGCGCACATGCCCAACCCGATTCCCAGGGTCGACGGGAAGAAAGGGAGCCCAGGAACCCGGAGACTGACCTGGATTCTACCCATGAAGCAGTGCGCGGATTCCACGAGAATCCCCCACCCCCACCCCCCTTCCCTCAGCTCAGCTGCCAGCTCTGCAATGGGAGCCTCCGCCGTTGCCGCGGTGTAGGTTTTCGTGCTCCTCCTTTTCCTCCTCCTCTTTCTCCTCCTCCTCAGGGCCCCAGTCAGGCCGATCCGCTCCGTTCACGGTAAGCGCCCCCCGCCCCCGCCCGCCCCGCGCTGCAGCAGGCAGAGGCCCTCCCGCGCGGCCTGCGCCGCCTCATTCCGGGGGCGCTGGGCTGGGGCTGTCGAGGCCGGCGCGGGTCGCCGAGAGCGCCCAGGGAGCGGGGGAGGGGACCGGCTGCGCGGCGGCGGCGGTCGGCCCGCCATCTTGCGCCGGCCTTGGCGTGGGAGGGATCGCGCCGCGGTAGCGGGCTCCGGCCGGCAGGCCGGGGCAGCGCTGGCCACTGCCGCCTGCTCCTGCGTCTCTTCCTCCGCCTCCTTCTCCTCCTCACGGCCCGAGGCCTCTGCGCCTGTTACCCTCAGCCTGGTTCGGCTTTTGTCTCTCGAGCCATCTCCCTTTGGTCTTCCCTTACATTTTGTGCCGATGTTTGGCGGAGACCCGTGCTCCTCTCACAGCAGATCTCCCCGGAGTCTCTTCCGTAGTATGCAAAGACCACTGGCGGTTCCGAACTTTCAGGCGTCGGAGACCGCAGAGCCCAGGTTCCCCGGCCCAGGTGACCAGTCACGGCACGCTCACACCCTCGTTGTTGTCAAAGGGACTTCCCCGCTCGGCTGTAGGCGTTCCGTTTTATTGTCTCCAGAGGAACGGCCCTGAGGGGAAACGTGGACGGGGAGACACAGTTTTCGAACGGAGCTTTCAGGCTTCATTTAGTGAGGCGGAAAGAATGATCTCACTTTGAGGTTTTATCCAGTTCGTCTTGCCTCAAGTTTTAACGCTTTAAAGAAAAATCTGCTAGAGAGGAGAAACGTCAAAGCGAGCCCGCTTCTGCAAGCCAGGGGGAACCCTCGTTCACGGGGTTCTCCTGGCGAGGAGCTCTTAAAAAATTCTGCGCACTTAACGATTTATTTATTTGTTCATTTATTTATTTATGGTTTTCAGGCTTGAACTGTGCCTTAAGAATGCGATGTCTTTTTGGGCCATTAAACAGAACACCGAGGTGGAGGAGGAGAGTTTTGAAGTACCTAAGCCGCCTCTGGGCATTTGTAAGGTGTCCTACATCGGGGCATCGCTGTGCTAACTCCGGCTGTCTCTCAGAAACTGTGCCTGTGGAAGGCCCTGGTTTGCAGAACTAAGGGCTATGTGCTTTGGATGTTTTAAAACATCAGTGCAAATCCTCTTATAATTGTATTTTGCTTTCGTGTCTGTCATTGATACCCGTGAATTTGTACCTCAGAACCGCTTTTGCAGTGGTCTCTAATAGAACTGTTGTGAAAGTGAGGAAAGAGCCTGGGGAAAGTTCTTTACTGAGGTCACGGCCTGCCATGATAGAGCCATTTCTGGAGCCTTAGGTCTTCAGAGTCCTCATTCAGTGCCCAATTCGCTATATTGTGTTGTGTTTTTTTAAGAGAGTGTGGTGAGTGTGGGGAAGAAGCAAGGAAGCTTCCCTACAAAATTTAAGATACACCACCCAATTGCCCCTTCTTTTACATCGTTATTTTTAAGAATTCATTTCTGAACCTTTCAACCTATTTTTATTTTTCATGTTAATTTTTTCTCAAACGTCGAGAAGTTGAATAGCGCATAGTTTTAATGGTTGTTACCATTTTGCCACATTCATCTACCTGTTTCACATTCTCTTAAGTGAACATTCTCAGAGTGCACTGAAGATATCATGACAGGTCATACCAAAGTATACTGTGTGTGTCAGTATGTATATCATAATATTAAGGCCAATTTTCTATATAACTACAATACCACAATCATGCTTAAAGTTAAGAAGAATTCCTAAAATCTGTATTCACATTTTTCACGTGGTCCCCCAGATGTCCTTTTTAACCGTTTTTTTTGGAACCAGTGTCCAATCATGCATTACATTCGTTTGTGTTAGTTTCTTTTTTTTTTTTTAAGATTTTTTATTTATTTATTTTTAGAGAGGGAAGGGAGGGGGAGAGAGAGAGAGAGAGAGAAAGAAACATCAATGTTCGGTTGCTGGGGGCCATGGCCTGCAACCCAGGCATGTGCCCTGGCTGGGAATCAAACCTGCAACACTTTGGTTTGCAGCCCACGCTCAATCCACTGAGCTACGCCAGCCAGGGCTAGTTTCTTTTAATTTTTTAATTTAGTGTTGTTCCCACCTTTTTTGTGTGTGAGACAACATTGACCTTTTGAAGAGACTAGGCCAGTGATCTTGTAGAATAACCCACATTTTGTCCCTGGTCTGGTGGGTCAGTTGGTTGGAGCATCAGAAAGTTTGAGGGTTTGGTTCCCCATCAGGGCACATGTCCAGGTTGCCAATTTCATTCCCCGCTGGGGCTCTTACAGGAGACAGCTGAATGATGTCGCTCTCTAACATCGATGTTTCCCTTTCCCTCACCCCTCCTCTCCCCAGGATCAATAAAAAAAGTCTCGGGTGAGGATTAAAAAAAAGAATAATCTACATTCTGTATTTTTTTTTTTACCGTTTCCTACTCTTTGGTTTTATCTATATCATACAGTGTATTTTACATTATACATCAGGAGGTGCATAAAGTGGGGTTATCCTATTAGTAATCTTAAATTTGATCTGTTGGATAAGGTGGTGATGATAGCCTCTTCACTGTAAGGATGTTCCTTTGGCAGTTAGCAAGTACAGATGGTCCCTTGACCTAGGGTGGTTCAATTGAACGATTTTTCAACTTTACTATGGTTCAAAAGCAATATATGTTCAGTAGAAACTGTACTTCAAATTTTTAATTTTGATCTTTTCTTGGGTTAGTGATAGGTGGTTTGATATTTTCTCATGATGCTGGACTTTGCTTAGCTGTAGGTGATTGTGTTGCAAACCCTTCCGAGTGAGGTACCCAAACCAAGGTTTAGTTCACACCAGTAGGAGACGGAGTTTCGAAAAGCAGAGCAGAAACTTGATGTGATCATGGAATTGAGAAGGGTGAGCTTATGCTCTAATGGGATCTCCCTCCTCCCTCCCCTGTAGAGAGCCTTCTATATTTAGAGGCTGTGGTGTGTAGTGATTAAATTCTTTTAGACACACATAATTATTGTGTTGCACTTTGGTCCTTTTGCATACAATGTCCTGTCACCATTTTGGTCTTTGTTCTCAGCCCTCTTAATTTTGTGGTTATCATTCCTTTTTAGTTTGTGGAAGCAAGTATAACTTGTGACGTAGTTACATCTCGTAACTTGTGATGTATCGAGTGATGTTAGGGCCTTTTGGAAGATAGCCTAGTGGCATAAGTGTTCTGAGCCACATTTAAGGTAGGCTAGGCTAAACTAGTATGTTTGGTAGATTAGGTGTACTAAATTCATTTTTGACTTAGGCACAGTGATGTCCAGCCTTTGGCTGGCAGGCCACGTGCAGCCCAGATGCCTGTGAATTTGGCCCAACACAGAATTGTAAATTTACTTAAAACATTATGAGATTTTTTTATGATTACATGATGCAGTGTATTTAATGTGTGGCCCAAGACAACTCTTCTTTCAGTGTGGCGCAGAGATGCCAAAGGATTGGACACCTCTGATTAGGGTATTTTCAATTTGGGATGTAATCTCATTGTAAGTCGAGGAACATTGTAATCTATGGGGTGATATTTTGTCCTTTCTATTTGGTATGAATTTATCTGCAGTAATCTGATGTGACATATTTGGAGCAGTCCTTTTGAAATGGGTGTTTCGGGGTAAAGGAGGGGAGCAAATTTGGAGGATAGGAGTAACATGAAGTTTAGGGATCTTGGAATGTTACATCAGAGCCTGGGATGGTTAGGGGAGAAGAAGCAGAAAGTAGATGCCAGGAAGATGGTCTTCTTTGAAAATATGCTTAGGGTTCTTATACAAGTAGTGAGCTGGGATAAATAGAAAGGTTCTGAGGTAGTTTGATGTTGGAGGGCTACAAATCTCAACATCCCCACTTCAATCCATTCTTTTCCAGTTAGGCTATCTAATCCAGTCCTGCTTCTTTGGTCCAGTGTTTTACTGCTCAGCATTGGCAGTGCTAGTAGGGGAGAGAAGGGCACAGGAAAGGAATAAATAATTTTGTGCCTTCCTCTCCCATATTTACTTGTTTTCTTTATTCAAGAGAACATTTAGAATCATACCAAGATTTTTGTTACTGTTGTTTTTTCTATATGAATTGGGCAAGGGGATGTACCTAAATGGAAAAGCACTTTTTGTAAGTAGAAGGTAAACCAGAGTTTTAGGTGACAGGGAATTAGAGATTATTGATGACGTAACTTGTTATTTCAAAAATAACTTTGAAAAGATGAAAAATATTTAACATATTTTAAAATAAATATTAAATTAAATAAATTAATATTTATTAAATTAAATACATATTTAATTGAATATGTAATCCCAAACAATTTATCTTTTCCTGCTTCAGAGGACTCAAAAATATTTGATTTTTCAGTCAAGATTTTTTTTAAGATATAAATGACAGTTTACTCCATAGCTACCAAAATTGTCTGGAATTTTTATTTATTTCTACAAAGCAATTTTCTTTTAAGGACTCTTTTAAACATTCAGAATGCCATGGAAAATAGTTACTGCTTTTTATCATCTATATTGAAAGGAACTATTTTATTTTTTTAACATTTTAAATTATTTTGTATAATTTTATATGATATACAGAAGTATAAAGGGATAATGTCAGACAACTTATTAGAAATTTTAATAAGAATTTGCTTAGAAAAATAAAAAAAAATAAAGCATCATCTAATTACGTACCACCCTTACAATGAATATGTGTCACATTTGAATGCTTGCATCTTGGCAAGCATTCTTATTACAATGTAGTACTTTATTTTTTTTTTTAGATACTAGATTTCTAAAAAAGATTTTATTTATTTATTTTAGAGAGATGGGGAAAGGAGGGAGAAAGAGGGAGTGAAACATCAATGTGTGGTTGCCTCGAGCACACCCCATACTGGGGATATGGCCTGCAACCCAGGCATGTGCCCTGACTGGGAATCAAACCGGCGATGCTTTGGTTCACAGGCCTGCACTCAGTCCACTGAGCTACACCAGCCAGGGGAG